GTGGGTGTCAGTGAGGAGGCCTAGGTAATCTATTGAGCTTTGGGTAGTATATCAATATTTATCCTGGGTACACAAATGGACTTTGGGCTCCCATCCAACAATGAGAGCTGCACTCTCACCCTGGACTCTTGGGGGAGGGTCTAGGCCCTGACCTAGATGAAATGACAGACTATGGACCCCCATGGGGGGCCACACCCTCCTTGGGGAAATGATGGGATATTGGGGGGGTTGGTGGGAGGGCACAGGAGGAGGGGAGGGAAAGGGAGAGGGACCTGGAATTGACATGTGAAGCAACCTTGATTCTAATTTAAATTTAAATTTAAAAATAAAATATATATAAAAAAAGAAAACAGAGTTATCCTACAAAGAGCTACTGATTACATATGCAAATCAACTTTTTTTTCTGTAAGAGTTTCAGTTTCCTATTGCAATCCAAATTGCAGATGATGGATTCATAGTAGATATAATATTTACCAAAAATGATCATCACATCTTTAAGAGTTAATTCTTTAATCTTTATATAGGCAATGTGGTAGCAAGATCTCATATTTATCCTATATTTTCTATAAATAAAATCAGTTGTAATGTAAAAAAAATAGTCTTCAACATCTGGAGGAAAAAAGAGGGCCTGGGTTACAACCTATACAAGGTAGGGGCTTATATGTTAAAGTCTTTTTGGTCTCTCAAGGATAGTAAATCTAAATTTTAAATGTCATGTTAACCATTGCACTGGTAAAGAGATCAAGAAGAATGGTTTAACAGTTAATGAAACAAATTACATGAAGACTAAAAATTAATAATTTCCCCTAACTCTCAAGAGTAAGTTTGATATGTAAATTTATAAACGTCTAGGTCTTTGGAGGTTGGGGTGACTATGGTTGGGCTTTTTGTTTTGAACTAGCTTGGTTTTTGAAAGACTTGAGCAGCTAGGCTGGCTTTGAACTCTTGGTCTTTTGTAGGTATTACAGAATAATTATGTATAGCTTAATATGAGTATCCTAGAGAATCTGGCTTCCAAGTCAAAAAAGGCAGTAAACACCTAGGAAGAATGGGAGGCTGTGGCCAGAGGAGCCAATGGTGAGGGCCTGTCTTAGCTACACAACCAGGCAGTTAGCTCAAGACAGCAGCAACCGAAACAAGAACAGAACCAACCAGTAAGGCACTATTTAACATACTGGAATGCACTAACGACCTCTGTTCATCGCATCCTTTATAAAAAGGATGAAGACAAAATGAATATAATATTTTTCAATGCTATACAAGTATTTAGGACCCAACATATAGAATTTAGACTAGAAAAGTATAAAACAATAAAAAAATGAGCAAAAAGAGTGACATTCTTATTAGCTGACAACAGTCAAACGCTGCTGTGGATATGGATAACCAGTCCTGGGTTCTCAGAGGGCTTGTTAAACAATGGCTGCTTTTACTTGTGGTAAGGTTTCCTGCAAATTCACATCTCTGTCTAGCTTCTCCAAAGAGATGAACTCTAGGGCACAACTGTACTTCATTCCCCTGCCTGCTGCTGTTTGAGGCACTGAACCCAAATATCTCAGGCAAATGCTTCTATCTACTTCTATCTAAGCTACAGTCACAGCCCTAAAATGATCTTAAATTTTTCTCAAAGATCTCTTTTTAGATAAATATACTTAGAAATGAGTTTCATCACAAATTCTAGGTTATGTATTTTATTTAAAAAGTAGTTTCAGAAATTTGGGTGAATTTTAACTTTATATACATTTATATACATCCCATGGCATGGGATTGTAGTCTATCCAAAACATTTAAAAACATTTCTAATTTTCCCTTTCCATTCCTAAACCTGTCCCCACCACAGCTATAACAGCGAAATCTTCACTCACTAAGATCCTATATAATTTTGGTTTTTCACTAAATTTCATCATACTTGCATACTACTGAAGGGCAGTTTTATATACATATATTATTCTTTAATTAAAAAAAAAGATTTTCTGTGTATCAGAGTTTGGTAAGTTATAAATCCTTTTGTCTCCTTTGGCTATGTTTCTGAATTAGTCTGTTTGGCCTGCCACAAAATATTGTAGACTAAGTGGCTTAAAAAGTGGCCTGTATTTTCTTACAGAGCTGGAGGCTGGAGTCCCACATCAAGGCACCAGCCAATTCAGCTTCTTACGAGGATTCTCTTTCTGGCTTGCAAATGACTATCTTGTCCTCACATGACCTTTCCTTGGAGACGATATGATGAGAACAAGCTTTCTTTGCTCTTACAGTTCAGAGCTCTGCCTTACAACCTCAATCAACCTTCAGTATTTATCGAGGCCCTATCTCAAAACACAATCCACACTTCCTAAGGGTTCTAACTTACAAGTTTTACAGAACATAAAGGCATTTGTTCCCTAACAGACTCTAACCATAGCAACTCACCTTTATAGACCATCTTTTAATAAACTGTTAGAACTCCCAAACAAAAAGAAACCACAAAATTCAGTAAGTATAGAAACATTCAGCTAAAATGCTGCAGCTTCCATCTCAATCCTCCTGCCCCGACCCTCCCAGTGCTGGGGTTACAGGCATGTGCCATCACATCTTTTAACGATGCATTTCATTAGTAAGTCAATGAAATGTGGCCCTTTTTTTCTTTTCTTTCTGACAATGTAGACTAGGCTGCTCTCTAGGTGTGCCATTCTGCCCAGCACAGACCGCACTATTAAAATGTCATAAGTGACTTCGTGAGAGAAAACCAAATATGAACTACAGGAATGATCCTGTGTGAATAGGCAGAGACCATACACCTAAAAGACTGGTCATGAGACTGCAAAAACAAAAACTGTCAGGCAATGCGGGGACAGAATGGGTGCTACTCCGTGGTCACTGCAGAGAATAATAATTTGGGTACAAAGAAGGCAAGCTGCTTTCCTTCCTTTCGATTTAGCTTGCACATGGCCACATGGTAGTCTCAGCTATGATCTATGCTCTATTACATTTCTTGAAAAATTTCCCACAGTACACCTAAAAGACAAGCGTCTTAAGATAGGCTACTAAGTTAGCATTCTCAATTGAAGTCTACTCCCAAGCCATCAGACTAGAAAAGTCTTTCTAGATTCCATCAACATGATACTATCAGTAAAAACTACAAAGCTAAGTGAGTACAAGACATCTTTTAATTACTATGGTTTCTCTTAATCTATCCTATTTACCCCCCTCAACTCAGTCACCAGATTAATCTTCACAGACCTCTATGACTCCACAATGGAGATGATTCCCGACCTATAACTCAAAGTACAACTGCTGTTTAACATTGAAGCAAGTCCAGCCAGCCCTCCTTATCCTGATGTGTCAGCATCCAAAGATTTAACCAGTAATGGAACAAACATCCCTTTCTAAGTGCCCGTGTTGAGCACGCAGATTTTTCCCCTATTATCATTCCCTAACCAATACAGTGTAATTACTATTTACATGTCATCTACATTGTGCTCAGTATGATAATTAATCTAGAAATGATTGAAAACCTAAGGGAGGATATGTGTAGCTTACATGATCACCGCATTCCCTCTGAAGGACTTGATGTGCCAATGGGGATAAGGGACAGGTGTTCCCTGGACACTGAGAAGTGACTGTATCTGCATATTAAAAGTCCACCGTATTTTTTATTTTTAGTTCCAGAAAATGCCACATCCCAAATTCAGTGCTCACACTTGCTCCTTACCTGACACCTGACAATCTCTTCTACCTCTCTCATCTTCTCTTGCCATCCAAAGCTTTTCCATTCTTTTTTCTCCCTTTCATAAGGCATTCTCTGGTAAGACCACACAGGCTGATTTTTTTTTCTTCAGTCAACAGCTATGCATTACTGATCCAGAAGCTCAAAGGTCTTCTCAGTTTCTTTATCCACTGTTGCCCAGTACTTACTGTCCCCGTTTATCATTATGTCTCTTGTGGGAAAGGTTCTGAAATGCCTTATTGGCTGGTTCTTGGGTGCAATTTTAATTTAACTGCAGGTGAGGTGATTACCCTAGAAACCTCAAATCACCCACCTTTCATAACCACTGAAGACATTACAAAGGGCTAAACAACTTTATGTTAATTGGTGTTAATTCTTTTTATTTATAAACTTGTGAATCTCTCACACTTTTGTGCCTTTCTTAGAGACATCCAAGACAACAAAGAAGTTGACACCCTTGGAATATTTTGTTCAGTTGCCAAACATTGTAACTTAGCTATAATTTGCTAGATAAGCATTTACATGTCATCTCTATTACCGTAGGGCTTAATACTAGTTGTCTCCCCGACGGCAGCCATTGTTATATACGCACATAACTCATAGCAATAAGTATGTGATGTGTTTAATAATGACTGTAGCATGCCTACATCCAAGTGGTTTCTCTTGGAATGGAATGGAGGTAGCTCTGCCACCAAGGCAATTTCAAAGCACAAGTCCTGGAGGAAAACTTGATAATGCCCAAACTATACAGTTAACACATGTGGAACTTTTTTTCAGTGGTGCTCAGCAGTCGGTCTGTTTGGCCATGGTTAGGGGTGGCCTCGGGGGGGTGGGCACTCGCTGGATTCAGTCTTGCCTCCCGTCTTCGTTGCAGCTAGGGCAAAAAGTTTCATTTCTCTAGCTGGTGTAGAGCTTCCAGCCCACTGTGGTGAGGACTGGAAACGATGATCCCCCTAGCCGCACGGTGCCTGGCAGCCTGGCTTGGGTTCAACAACTGCTGTGGAAATTATCAGTAACTCACCCGGGCACGTCCAGGGCCCCCACGGAGGACTCCCCTCCACCGAGATCAGCAAAGCTGAGCAGACGTTTTCAAGCTCCTGGGCTTGGGGTCCGCAGAGAGTGGCTGGAAAGACAGCCCCGGGCCGGGGGCCTCGAGGAGCCACCGGCAGGGAGGGCTCGGCCGCGCGCGAGGCCCGGGAGGTGAGTGGCGGGCGGGGCACGCGGGCGGGCGGGGCTGCGCGTGCGCAGTGACCGCGCGGCCGGCACGCGGCGCTGCGCTCCCTGCTTAAATGAGCCGGGGCTCCCGGCGCGCGCCAGTTGAAGGGATCCAGCCGCGGGAGCGGGCGCCGCCAGCTTTCCTCGGCGCGGCGGGAGGCGGCGGCCGTCGGGGACCCGGCACGGCGGGCTGAGGCGCTGCTCCCGCTACAGGGAGGCGGCGGCGTCCGGCGATGGGGACCGAGCGGAGCCTCCGCGCCGGGCCGTGACCGCCGCGCCGCTGCCGCCGCCTCGGGCGCTCCCGGAGTGCCGACGCTGATGAACATGGCCCTGGAGCAGCTCTGCGCGGTCCTCAAAGGTAAGCGCGGGCGCGGACGGCGCCCCCTGCGGGCCAGGCCGCGCTCCGCTCCGCCGCCGCCGCCGCCTTCGCGCCCTTTGTCTGGCCCAGGCCGCCGGCCCGCCGCCGCTGCGAGCTAGCTCTAGGGGGAGCGGAGGCCGGGGGACGCCGGCGACTGCCTCGCGCCTCGGAGAATTCCACGCCGTGCCTCGCAAAGTGTGTGACGCGAAGGCCGGCGGTCCCCGGTCGCCACCGCAGAAAGTCATTCCGCACAGACCACAAAAGCCCCAACTCGGACGCGGTGGAGCGGCTTCCGAGAAGCCCCGCGACGCCCGCCCGCCCGCGCCCCCGGCGGGTCCCACCTGCTGCGGCCGGGGAGGCTGCGGCACCACTGCGGGCTCCGGGGCTGCGTGCGGCCGCCCTGCCCGCGACCCGCACACCCCACGCCGCCTTCCCGCGAGGGATCGCAGGGTCCTGCTGCCCAGTCTTGTGCGGAGGATGAAACCGCGTCCTCAGCGGCCGGCCGGCCCACAGCACAAAGCTCGGAAAGCCTCTTGGCCGCCTCTTCGCCGAGGTGTTAAGTCAGATAAATATTTCTAGATCGTTTACATTGAAGGCAAAGTTTATTCCGGAACTCGTCCTGGATTGATCCTTTTATAAATCTCGGGGAAAAGCAACGCCATTCACTAACTGACTTCCTTTTCCTCTAATGAATGATTTAATTGCAAATGGACTATCTGACTGCTTTTTCTAAAATCCTCCTCTTATATTGACAGAGAGAGACAGAGAGACGTTAAGACAGTGTTAACATTGACATGTAGTTTTAACACTGAACCTGAATACTTGCACAATTACAAATGTTGGTGTTTTCTCTGGCCCGTGTTAGCACCATATTTTAAATTTTTGTTTTGTCAGAAAGTTCAATAGAACTTTACTTTTCATCGTTCTTTAACTATTACACTTAGTAATCGGACAAATATTCATAGTTTCATAATTGACGTTACAGCCATTGAATTTAAATATTTACTTACCCAGCTATATGTATCAATACGTGTATGTTCAGACTGCCAAGATAACCAGTAACCTTCTAGCCAGTGAATATTTGCGTTAACACATAAATTCTTAGTGGGTTATAAAAAACAAATCCAAAATTCTCTAGTTACTGATAACCCCTGATTTATGCAGCCATTTCCCTGGAAATTAACCTTTTGTTTCACTCTTTAATAATAAACGAAACACATGCACAACTGGATTTCTGCTGCATTAAGGGAATTTTCTTCATTCTGATTGTGAACACTAACACGGTAATGCTAGTGTTGCCAACATCATAGTGACAAGTCCAGCTGAGTATCCTCCGCAGGAAATCACTTGGATCCGTTACACAGCTTTACCTTCCGAACTGGACGAAACTGAAGGGGATTGGGCCATCTCCATGGGTACTCAAGGAATTGCCGCGGTCTGGCCTGTGCTTTTCAGTGGGTACACACTGCCCTCTCTGGCCACCGCGGATTATTGCGCCTATCCGGAAAAGGTTCTGTGATGATGGCTGAGCTCCAGTGAAAACAGTGTAGTAGCTGCCTTTTTTTTTTTTCAAATATTATTCAACCTGAACTATTTTTACATGGCAGAAGTATTTTTATAGCGCGAGATAATTGTGCTGTTGTGAGCTTATTAGAGAGAAAGCAAGTTATTTTTAATTCTTCTATACTATGCTTTGTAAGCATTAGACTTTGGTTTGGAAAGACTAAAAAAAAATATGTTAACAAAATTTGAACCTGAGAAAGCAGCCTGGAGGCTGAAAGAAAAAGGGATGGCTTGAATTTTAATGCATATATTGAATTGCTTTTTAAATCAAATGCATGTATTTCCTACATAAAATAATATTATTAAAAATGTACTTTAAGACAACTATACTTTTCCAGTGCTGCTCTTTACTTGTGCTCCAAGGCATGAAAAAGCATCCCTTAAGTGTCTCAGATTTTATCCACACCAAGAGGTTTTTCTCGGAAGTGACTATTTAACACTTGTATAAATATGGTTGCTATTTTCTAAAATCCTTGTTTTGCAATATGATGATCAGTTTCCCGTTAAATATCAGAAACGAATGTGAAGTTATGATCTGTTAAATTACAGTAACATGTGAGTGTGTGTGAGAGAGAGTGTGTGTGCATGCACATAGGACAGCATGGATGTGGAAATCAGAACCTGTGGGAGGTTGGCCTTGGGGATTGAACTAAGATTGTCAGACTTAGCAGCAAGTGCTTTTACCAACTGAGACATCTTGCCAGCCCCTAATTTTACTTTTTAAAGATGCCACCATTCTTTTTATTTTTCAGCAGTTCAAACAAGAGTTATTCTGTTAGGTTGTTTGAGCCTTTCCAATATTAGTGAAAGTGACTACTTCACTTCTGTTATTAACCACTTCAGGTATTACAGATTTGAATCAAGCTTCTGTCTATGGTAGCTAGGCATTATAATCCTATGAAAATCTTCCATTGAGATTATGAACTAATTGTTTCTTCTCAAATGCTGCACATTTGCTTCAGAAAAACCCTGTTAAACCCATTGCTATTCAAAGCTATACAATCTGAGGTTAAGTTTATGACACGATGGAGCTTAACTGTCCCTTAGCCCTGTGTATTTAAGTCGTGTCTGAATTGAGTATCACCTTCTGTTCTTTAGTCTTAAACCTCACCCAGGAAAGATACAGGGGGAACTATCACCTTCACAATAAAGCTCCTTTTTAATACAGCCTTCTTCAAACTGAACGCCACTTATGCATACACACACAATTTGGAATAAATTGTTTCAATTATCAATTGAAATTTCTTTCTAAACAATGGTTTTATTATAATAAATCTTGAACTAGACGCCAATTTACATTTTAAACCAGAGTGTTCCTTAAGAGGGAAGAATGTGAGCATTACAAAGCAAGTTTAAATCAAAGCTGCTTTTAGTCGTTTGGGAATATGATAGAAAATTAATGGCTCTAAATTTCATACCTATTTGTCAAACATTTCAAATTTTAGAGGCTCTACCTGTTCAGCATAATCTATCATCTTCCTATGCATTCTCCTTCAGAATAATTTTTGATGTTTTAAATGTGTTTTCTGGAATGCTTTAAGGCTAAGATTGAGTTAGAAAGGAGGCTCTTACGAGGTAATTTAACCAGTGATTCCTAAACTTTCCTTAATGGCAGGAGCCCTTCAGAAGCACTCTAACAACGAAACCCAGAACAACATTAAGAGAGCATGCTATAATTGTGGTGGGAAACCACCCACCTTTCAACATGTGAGCATGGTTCTTACAAAATGACACAGTACCACTTACTAATCAGAAAGCCTAGCTCTGTTCTGGTTAAAGTTGGTTTGATCAAATATGTATAGAGTAATATATTAGAAATTACAACACTAGAAGATATTGATTATTCTTAGTCACATGAAACTTGATGCTTTTTTTTTTTTTTTTTTTGGATGTGGAAAGTCGACTCCCTTAATTAAGATGTAGCCTACAGACCTGCTCTCCCGAGCACTCACTAACAGCATTGTGTCCATTGTGCAGGAAGGAGAAAGCACTTCTGCTGCATCCTTTCTTATGAGTGTGCCTGGCAGGAGGATCAGATCAGCATCTCTAGGCTGCAGTGATATGTTTACCCACCATCTTCTTCTCCTCCAGTAATATATGAGATTTAAGTTTGGGCAGTTTTTGTGCTTTGAATATAGTTGATCAAATAAAAAGCCATCATTCTATCATCTTATTTTAGATTTAACAAACTTTACATTTACTGCCTAGATGCTCACAACAGGAATACCTAGAAAGAGACATGTTTAATTGCCAGCAAAGATAAGTTGAGCCAGGTTGATAAACAAGAGTAGTGTCTGGTATCTGAATAAAATGAAAAACAAAGTCTATTCTTTTTGTATCCTCCCTGGTTTATACTCAAATAAAAAGCTAGGCAGTGTGCATACTACTTTTTAAGTGAAATGTGAGTTTGTCAATTAGTACAGCTCTTTCAGTACTGTGTGTAATCAGATCCCTGCTTAGTCACTTCATGTATTCATCTAGTTTTTATGGAGTGCTGTTATGGGCCAGGCCAGTCTAAGCAGTGAAGATATGTCAGTGAACCAGATAAACATGACTCCTATTTTTAGTGAGTAGAAACTAAATAAACACACATACACACATGAAAAAAATCAGATATTATAAGTGCAGTGACAGTAGAGTAAGATAAGGAAAACAGAGAAAATGGAGAAACCTCACAAAATAAGGAAGATTGGAGGAATTAGTCATGCAGAGACTGGTTCTAGACATATAACATGGGTTAGACCCTGAGACAAGAATTACTTGTCATTGGAGTAATGGGCAGGGGGTCTGTGAACCTACAGAGAGTAAGTAGGAGAAGTGGTTAGATGCCAGATTGCCCTGGACCTCAAAAGAATGTTTATTATGTCTGGTGGATTTAGTTTACATGTAATAGGAGTCTTGGAAGATTTTATAAATAGCTATTATGTGATCTGAATTATACTTTGAAAAGACAACTGGCTGCTGTATGCACAGTAGTCCACAGAGGTCTGTAACACAAACTTTAGAATGTCACCAAATAGCCATTTTACTCTTTAGTAGTTCTCTAAATTTTAGTTAAAAACATGGTTACTCACAATAAAAATCGTTCCCAGGCTCTCTTAAGGCTAGGTATGGTCACATAATTTTGTATAGGTGGTACATATAAATATAAAATGATATGTACATATAAAGGAAACTTACTTTGTTATTTATAATAAACTTTTTGTTTTAAGATAATTTTAGATTCTGGGAAAGTTTTGGTTTTGTTTGTTTAAGGGAAAGGGAATAGTCTATTCCATGTTTTCCTGCATGTTGAGTATGATGCAGACACGGTAAATTTGGAAAGTTATAATGGCTGGCAACCTAATATCCACATTGAGTCATGAGATGTCTTTGGGCATAGGAAGCCTAACTAAATAAAATAGAATAGTCTTGGCTCTCTGATAACAGCCTTCACT